CGGCTTGGTGAAATACTTTGAGAAATATAATTGTAGAAAAAAATGTTTGAAGCAAAAGTTGTAAGGCTTAAAAATATCTATTTACTCCTTTTATCAGTTTAACCTTCGGTTACGTCGCCAAGGTCAAGTGAAGATCATCTTGAATTTTTTAAATAGGACTCCTTATTCTTTATTATATATTCTTATAGCTGTCCTCGAGATTCTTTTAAAATGCTATAATTGTATTCATATTATATCAGCTGTCTCGAAGTATTCGAGGTTTTTATAGTAAGATATCCAGCCAACGAAAGCAAGGTCCATATTGTAATATGCAATATGCGTAATATGTATGTGCAATTACACGCGTAAATCATTATAATAATAAAAATAACATAAAGTTAATACATATTCATGTGTATTCATTAATGTGTGATAAAAAATGTATTAAATAAATGTTGGCAATAAAAAATAAGGGGTTTTAATTCAAGGTAACTTTTGCCTGACCTTGGCGACGTAACCGGAGGTTAAACTAATAAAGAAAGTGAATACATATTTTTAAGCTCTACTACTTTTGTCTCAAACCTTTCTTTCTACAATTATATTTCTCGGGGTATTTCGCCGAACCGAAACTTTTTATACACTCTGTACATATATTGAGTACATCCAGATAGTTGATTTGAGATTTTGCGACTCAAAGTAACAAGAAAAAAGCAATTCAAGAAAACGTAAAAGGAAACATAAAAAATTACATCTGAGAGTTTTTACTGTTACGTTCTGCACGGACGCAAACCATATATATTATTTTTTCCTCATCCGGGATATATTTGGCAAACAGCATAAAACCATAAAGCGTTTTTCCTTTAATTGCAGAATTTCCTCAATAAAAGTTTAGCAATAATCGAAGATGCAACCCTGAAAAACACTCAACCAAAACTCTTTTTATTCTTAAAACCTATCCCGTCGGATATGAGTACCTTATCTGTAAATCAAAGAAAGCCGCTAAACCCTAAGTAAAAAAGTATTCATATTCTCACGGACCATATTGCCTCTGTTCCCGAGTTACATCATCCTCGACATCTCGCCTCGAAGATTCCCTCATCACCCTGAAATTCCTTCAACCTGCATCTCTCCAAAATACGCGATTTTTTTCCACTCACGAACCCAGTCAAAGAAATTTTCCTAACTTTTTTCCTTAAAATATTACTGGCTGCAGACCTCACCCCACTACCATCTTTAACGAATCCAGCAACAAGTATCCCCGAAAATTCACGTTTTCCAACCCAAACTCCTCCCAACTCATATCCTTTAAAAACCGCGACTCCGCACTGCTAGCGCATTTATACAAGCAGTCATACTTGCATTCATATGCGCATTGATACTCGTAATCGCATTCGTACTTGTATTCGTATTCGCAGTCGCATTTGCGTTCGCATTGTCAGATCAGATGTTTGTTACTCCTTTCTCAAAGTTCTCTAAGCCCGTTACGTTGCCACTTCGATACTCATTTTGGACTTTAACTTCTTAGCTACGGCTGAACTTTCCGCGAAGTTATATCTCTGTACGGCAAAGTTCGACGCGCGTAAACAATGCAACACTGCAATTTGTGTCTGGTAATGCTTTTCACTACGCAAGTATATTAGAATACAGTTTTAGATGAATAAATTATAATTTATTAGAAATAAAAGTGAGCCTTCGTACTGTTCGGTAGTACGTAGTGGCGTACCGTTCAAGATGACATACGCGAAAGCCACTATAATGGCGTACAGTAGCTACAGCAACTTAAGTCATTTTGTCTCGACGATACGATCGAGTAACCATCTTTTCCGCGACGTGAGTTAAAACAAAGTTTTGGTGTACAGGGTGTTGCACTTACATACAGGTCAGTACGACGGGTTGCCTCATTGGCAGGCGCGCGTAACGTGCATAGTAAACCTTGGCTCAACTGTGACACGCGCTTTCTTTCCTATGAAGTTTACTGCATTATTCCCAAGTTATCACGATTGCTACGGACTTATGACCGGACTATTAATCGGTTATGATAGAAATAACATTACAAATGTAAAAATGGTGATAGGAATAATATGATAATGGGAGATGGAGATTTTATTTTAATCAAAAAATATCAATCATAGTTATTTTGTAGTCCTCGATTTTTACCGGCCTTTTAGTTTCTTACATTTATATATAGAATTTTGAAAACACACTTGTGGATACGATAACGACGTTATATATATAATTGGAATAATTTGGATTAATGAGGGAGCCGGAAAATAGAACAACAAACTTTCTTCTATTACAATCTCTTTATTATTATTATTTTTATTGGCAAAATTTCGGTGAAATTCAGAGTTTTGAAAGAGATGAAAAAGGAAGAGTCCTAAGGCTCATGTGATCGGCTGCCGCTAGTATCTAATTCCACTTTGGAGTCCGCTTCTTCAAAAAAATCGAGTGGATTATAAACGCAACATAAATTAAATAATCGTAATAACTGATGACGACTATTGAATGCTACGAATAAAACGACATTCCGATATATACCGTATGTGCAACAGTCCTGAGCGATAATTTAATAATTTAATTATATCGCAGACCCAAGATGTTTTAAGACTGTTAAATATCATGATTTTTCATCCGAATCTAAACATCATTATTTCGGAGACGATGATAGTTAGTGGTTGACAGCAAGCGTCTTTATATTTTCCGAAGATGTCGATTGTTTCGACAATTTTCGCTTATTGCGTGCGCATTCGTGACCACATCGTTAATAAATATGTAAGAAACGTATCAGTAAAAGGCTGGTGAAAGTCAAGAGCTACAAAATGACTGTGATTGATATTATTTGATTAAAGTAAAACCTCCATCTCCCATTATCATATTATTCCTATTTCCTGTTTCCTATTTATTATTATATTTCCATTTTTATATCTGTATTGTTATTTCTGTTATAACCGATTAATAGTCCGATCATAAGTCCGTCGCGATCCTGATAACTTGGAGATAATGCAATAAACTATAGGAAAGAAAGCGCGCGTGACAGCTGAGCCAACTAGAGCCAAGTTAAGTCTACTATGACACGGTACGCGAACCTGCCGACAAGGCAACCAGTCGTACTGACCTGTATGTAAGTGCAACACCCTGTATATCACTCGGACAGCAACCAAACTCTAATCAGAAGGTGCTCAGCAACCTGAGAGAGCGAGACAGACACTGTAAATCAGCAAGGACACGCTCTAAAGTCTAGATTCTCGTGCTCGTCTACATCCTCTCCATATCCCGAAAGTAAGTCGTCCATTTTAAATCTCATTATCGCTTCCGCCGCGTTCTTTAATCATTTCAATAATTCCGGTGAGTCTGTTATTTGTTTTTTCCCTCAGAATCGTTAAATCTTCCGATGTCCTTAAGCATATTTTACGTTCTTTTCCCGTGCTAAATTCACAGCCCAGCTTCACTTCCTCATCATCATCTATTTATCCTTAAACAATGTACCTCAATCCCTCCCATATACATACGCGCACACTCATACATCCACACACTCGTAACTCACAGATTTGTTATTTTACTGATGCCTTTGTAATCCTGCAAATTGTAACACGAGGCATGATGAATAAATTTTGTGTTTGTTAATTAATTATTCCGATTAAAAATTTTATTTTCTTTAATCCCCTTTCCCTTTCCCGATTATTCGTTCTAGGTCCTATCCCTGTTAAAGGGACTCGCTTCCCTGACCTAAAAAGGATCACTCGTACGTCAACGCGCGCGTAAAACGACCATTCTGGTTGTTAATTCGTTCCTCGACCTACGTGTACGGCAGAAGTTTATCATAAGCATTTCGTTACGTTACGTTCTTCTCCAGGACGTAACATTACGATATCACGTTTTTCCCAATTTTTCTTAATTTTCCACGTTTTTCCCGGTAATGCCCTAATTTTCATAGTCATTTTCAAATTTTACAACTCAAAATACATAAGAATATGCAACATTTTCTCTTTCGAATAACGGTTTCCAAACCATTAGTTTTGCATATCCTCCTTTTTAGGCAAGTTGAATTCTTTGTCTTGTTCAATGGGAGAATTTGTTTTCTAATCGGAGAATATTCGCTCATTGCATAAAATAGATGAGTACGCAAATTTATCGTAAAAATTATGGAAAATTTTTGTCCGTGGCTGTACATGCGTCGTCAGATATATTAAGTTAAGTTTAAAGTTAATAACCTATAAATAACATTAATTTGGTTAAATTGAAAGTTGCATAAACAAAAACTAAAAGTTAAGATTAACTTATTAAAGTTAAAAGTTAATTATGTAAAGCAAATATATATGTTTTTGGCATAATTAACTTTTTCATCGTAGATAAATTTATGTAAAATAATAAAAAAGGTAGTTTTTCATTAAAAAAAATGTACTAAATGTTTTGTGCTCAAGACTCCATTCAAGGAAGGAACATTTGGGTCTCTTAACAATAGAAATTTTGCTAGTATTATTTCTGATTATTCTTATTTTATTTTGCAATCAGCCTGCCTTTTAATATTGGTGAAATATTTAATTTTTAATTTATACAAAGAAATTTATCAGTTAATATTAACAGATTTTGGAATAAATATAGTTTAAGTTAGAAATTAGTTTATTTAAAATTAATTAAATTAAGTTAAAAATCTTTCCAACATTTTATTTTAATTTTTAACTGATTAAGTAGACGCATATCTAACAAATGAAACGGAAGATGACGAACCTATGTTTCTATAATAATTCGCTGTTTGCCGCTTCACTAAATTAGTTTTTCACGTTTGTAATGTTCGGCATTGATGTAAAAAACAGTTCGCATCGAACATTGCAGAGATTAGTGTAAGGAGAAAGCCGTGGATACGACATCAACGTCATCCACGACATTGGTACCGAGTGTTAATTCGTGCAGATATATTAAGGAAATTTGCGCGTTTCCTTGTACGTTAATGTATTCGGAGCGCGACTCGTTGCTAGATGTGGAGCCAGTGCTGCAAGTATAATCCGAGGAGGTGCACATACCGTTCCGCGATATCCTGGTATGCATATCCGGCGGGCTCCCGGTGCAACTGTAGCGGGATGCCACGGCCTCTGAACGTGACAGAGATGGTTCCGTTGTGACTCGCACCCACGGACACCAGAAGAAGAATTGGGCGAAACCACGGCGAAATCTGCAGCAATAAAATAAAGTATAAAGTACAAAATGGAAATTAGTCAGTCGCTATCATAATGCTGAGAAATCTGCAAACGATCGCCGGCGTGACCGTTTAATATGGCAGATTATGTCAATAGGCCGTATTCCTTAACCGCTTATTTAGCGTTGAACGTACTCGTCCGATTAAAAAATTAACAGTAATTGTCCTTGTATCAAGATGATGTGTATCCCGACCATACATTTAACGACTAAATGTGGTCATCCGATTCTAAACTTCATCAGCAAAAAAATATCGATTGTAACATGATAAATCGACATTACTCAACACGAGATCGTTCGCATATATCAAGATAATTTTATTTCAACGTTATTATTTCTCGTAAAAGTTGTAATATAATGTCTTATAACCGCAAATTATTACCAGTTATGTCTTCCTTATGATACATACACGAAAATTATGTTCTTTAACAAGCATTGACGTAGCCAGGGTCGGGATGAGGGGGCTGCAACCCCGAAATTAATTTTTTGGGTTACACTAAGTGAGACAAATTTTTTCGAGTGATCTTTTTTGCTCGTCAAAAATAAAAAGTACAGTCCCCTCGAAACTTTTCTCTGGCTGTCACTGCTAACAAGTAAACCTACCCAAAAGGTACACTCCGATTTCTTTCTAATTTGGCATAAATGTAGAAGTACAAAAATATTTAGGTTATATTTTTTTCATTTCGGCCTACTTTGACGGACAGTTTATAGTTCTTTAATATTTTCACTTTTATCCTCAACAAGTACAACAAAAATCAATGTTGTAACGTATCTAGATAGATGTATCTTTTTGTAGTATCTAGATACTTTTTGTGTATCTATTGGGAATGTGTATTAATTTTAAAGGATTTTCAAGAGATGGCGTAACTAATACTATATTGCATTGGGCCATATTGTTGCTACCTTCATGTCAAAGCATCATCATGTGGGTTTCAGTATGTGTCATTTTGCCGAAGTGTAAAAAATTATTTTTTAGAGCATTGAATATGTCGAATTTTGTGCCAACAAAACGCAATTTGCGGGAAGCTTTGCTTTTTTGCTTCCATTTGAAGAAAAGTGCTGCTGAAAGTCAACGAATGCTGTCGGAAGCTTATGGTGATTATACTTTATCGACTTCAACATGTAAGTACTGGTTTCGACGCTATAAAAAAGGTGATTTTGACACGGAAGACAAGGAACGTCCAGACCAACCAAAAAAGTTTGAAAATGAGGAAGCTTTACTCGATCAAGACCCGAGTCAAACGCAAGAAGAACTTGCAGAATCATTAAATAATAATTGATCGATCAACGATTTCCAGACGTTTGAAGGCCATTGGAGTGATTCAAAAGCAATTGTGTACCGTACGAGTTGAAGTTGAGGGACGTCAAAAGGCGCACAATGACATGTGAATTGTTGCTTCAAAGACAAAAAAGAAAAAATTTTTTGCAACGTATTGTAACAGGTGATGAAAAATGGATACGTTACGATAATCCAAAGCGCAAAAAATCATGGTGCAGGCCAGACGAATCATCAACATCGACGGCAAAGTCGAATATTCATGGCACTAAGTTCATACTCTGTATTTAGTGGGATCAGCTGGGTGTAGTGTATTATGAGCTGCTCCAACCCAACGAAACCATCACTGGGGAACGCTACCAACAACAATTGATGCAATTGAGCCGAGCATTGAAGCAAAAACGGCCAGATTACGCGAGAAGACACGACAAAGTGATTTTCCAGCACGACAACGTTCAGCCACATGTTGCGAAACCGGTCAAGGAAACGTTAGAAGCGCTTAACTGGGATGTCCTACCACACTCGCCGTATTCTCCAGATATTGCTCCTTCCGATTACCACCTATTTCAATCGATGACTCATGGCCTGTCTGAGCAGCGTTTCCATTCTTATGAGGATATAAAAAAATGGATCAATTCGTGGATAGTCTCAAAAGATATGTTGTTTTTTCTACGTGGAATCTACCTTACCAGAAAGATGGGAAAAAGTAGGGGCTAGCGATGGACAATATTTTAAGTGATCAATTTGTAATCATCTTTTCATAATAATGCCGTATTTTTATCAAAAAATAATTAATAAAATAAATGCACACTCCCAATAGATTGTTCGAGATTGCGGGAAGAATCTCGAAAGCTCGAATTTTCGTTTAAGGAACATTCTGGAACGAACGGCTCGCGCGAGGCCGAAAGGATCGTCGTCTTCGCGATGGTCTCGCGCGGACCACGGAGCCGGATTTTTTCTCAGACTCGCTGGCTGGTCACGGTTGCTATGACAACCATTTGGTATAACAAACATGCGCGAATCGCTAGACAGCACGCGCTATAGATCGCTGTTGTCGTTTGCCTGATCAAATAAGGTAATTTTTGCGAGAGCAACCAGCACTTCGGCGATCGCGACCAACCAGCGAGCGCGATATTGCTAAGCGAGCAATTCCTCTAAGGCAGATTTCGTCGATGACGACGGCAGTCTGCTCTGACGGCTTTCGCGGTGATCATCTCAACGAGGCGTCGATAGTCCGAAATCTTACTCTAGTTCTCGGCAGTGATGCCAGGGTCGTGGGATATCGTCCCAAAATTAGATCGTAATGCGCATGTGTGTATGATGTCACGAGTCATGACAGAGTTGTATTAAATACAAGGCGCATAATAGGATAACAAAATTTACGTTTATCTTAGTATTTTAACAACAAATGTTGGTATTCCTTTTGTAAGTCGACTGCAGATGCAACATAATAAATTTTATTTCTATCTATATCAATTTACTATATTCTTTCCTTCCTTACAACTTTTTCCTTTCATTTTATCTTTCTTACATTTTATTTTTTTCACAAATGTTCCAAAGATACCCTCAAATGTCGTGACATTGGTACTTCACTGGGAATCGAGAGTTGTACGAACAACTTCGATTGATCGACATTACTTCGACCCTGGCATCACTGGTTTTCGGGCCGACTATCATAAGGCTAGAGCGGAGACTCACTTCGAGTTCGCTTCGTTTTCGATCTCGACTCTCGCATTTAATAGACGTCTCGATAGCCGGAATTCTAACTCGCTTTCTTCAGTCGGCTATCATCGAACGATATTCGCGACACGTCGTTTCGCCTCGTGTGCGTGCCTCTCTCGAAATCTCGTTTTTGCAGTGTACTCAAAAGCCTCAATCGCCCGGTACATTCGCATGCGTCAGAGCTTGCTCTCGGCGCGTTCGTCACGGCGGAATCTCTTTGGGAATCGCGGTGCGCCGTTTCTTTTTAACTCGTTTTCTACATTTTTGTAATTTATACTTTATTGTGTGCGTTCGTTTGGCAGCCATGAGTGCGCTATCATGACGGTTCTCGCGGTCGCGGGCGCCAGGAGATCTCCGTCACTCCGCGAACAAGATTTCCACCCGGATTTCCACCTGACGCTTGGCAAGATCTCCGTTGCAATAGGCTGACCCGGCCTAGGGCGCAACGAAGATCTCCGATTCCGAGGTATTTGAATCGTCGTGAGTTCGTTGCCGCGGCTTCTATTGTGACGAATTTGTGGAAAATAAACTGACTTCTAGTGCTCAGTGCTTCTCGCCTCTTCATTTGCTTCTTCATTTCTGTACATCCACTCACTGCGCCCTGCGTTAGGCGAAACCGCAAACTTTCGGCTCGACTTTCGCGCTTGCGAGTCGGATCCGAAACATAGATTAAACGAAAATACTATTGCGCAATAACAGCTTTGTGTATATTCACACCACATGTGGTAACTATTGATTTCTTTTTATTGGAACTATGTATAAATTGAGATAAAATAAAATTAAGAGTCATACAAAAAATACTTGGCGTGCCTGGGGATATATATATATATATATATATATATATATATATATATATATATATATAT